TCTCGGACCAATTTCTAGCATCGTGGACACAAGGCTTTAGACTTCTATTTTCTTCCTGCAGTTACATGATGTCAGGTCAGTTCTTAAATAAGAAGTAAAAAAATTAAATTTTTATTTATTAAACCTTGTGTCCACGATGCTAGAAATTGGTCCGAGATCTCGGAGAGAAAAAGAATTAACCAATCACATTTAAACAATTTAGTCACATGATCAATGCGATTGGTCAATTCTTTCTTCATCCGAGATCTCGGACGGATTTCTAGCATCGTGGACACTGGGCTTTATACAGGATGTTTGGTACTTCTCCCAACAACGTTCGTGGGCAGAGATTACTGAATAAGGTAAAATCGACGCATCATACAATTTTAAGATATATTTGAAAGTTCTTTATGAAATATCTTAAAAATGTTTCTTAAGGAACTCTTACAGATATCTTGAAATTATCTCATGCGTCGATTTTAGGCATTCCGCTCATAATTAAAAAAAAAAAACAAAAGAATTGCAAAACGATAAAGGACTGTTTTATTCACAATGAGAAGTGATCACCTTTTTACATTTATGCTTACAGTTCATGCACGATTAACGACAAGACTAGGAGTCTAAGAGGATCCTAAAGCCGTCTGTATTACTGACGTAATTTTTGTATAACAATTACTTTTTCCTCTTTTATAGATTCGAAAATCCTTTTCCATGATTAAAGTATACGACAAAAAATTTTTCTTAAGATTTCAATTTCGAAATTTTTTGTCGTTCTCGGCATAAATTCCATTTCATAGACACGTATTAATGCTTTAATCCTGAAAAAGGATTTTCGAATCTGTAAAAGAGGAAAAAAGTAATTGTTATACAAAAAAATTACGATTTAGTCGGTAATATAGACGGCTTTAGGGTCCCTTTAATCAGCAGTGACGTTATCACATGTGTGATGGAATTGTGCCTTTGCTGTGGAAATGTATCTGAAAATGTATCTGAAAATGTATCTGAAAATGTATCTGAAAATCAGTTTAAATGATGTGTTTTTATATGTATAACTACAAATTAGTACAAATACTCAAATTTAAATGTATTTTACATACAGGTAGATACAAAATGTATCTCTATACGTGTATCTAGATACATATATGGAGATACTACCGAATACTGGCTATAGTCGATTGTTTCCAAGATATTTTATAATTTCTGGACTTTTTTATATATCTTATATAAATCATAAGATCAATCTGTTAACGCCTAACAGTATTTGTATTAATAAACTCCTGATTTCTCAATCTTTTTCTTTTGTTTTTATTATGATAACATCTTTTGAATCAAATTACATATTAATCATTATAAAATTTTAGATGAAGAAATTTTGAACGCTAATGGATTAATCACACATGCAGGTGTTTCAGTTTCCAAAAATGAATATAACTCAAGGAACCTTGCAAAAATCCGTGAGGATTCGATTAATCTGTTACATTAAATTTCTGTTTAACCTTTTCGCCTTTTAATATAGCCTACCACTGCATTTATAATCTCTGATTTTAACATGCTTGTAAAGTTCTTATAAAACGTTCGTTTACATAATCGCGCATGCGAAAGGGGTAAATGTTAAAAATGATTATACCTATAACTACAAATCTGTGAAGGACCGAAGAGTTGAAACATCTATGGATCCAGGGGTCTGCCATTATAATCGACATCGACACATTTATAACAACAGCTACAATTATTTTGTCCAATGTAAAAATGTTCTGAATTTTTAGGTAACACTGGTTGCGTTCAGTTGGGGCACTCACGCGCTGTAAGCATTCTATCTTTACGATTCCTTACATGCGCTGTAAACATTCTATTTTTATCATTTAGTACATGCGAAAATTTGTGATTATTTAATTTAATTTGATTAAAAATTCGTATTGTTATTTAAGCGCCAATTGTACTAACACAGCTAACTTATATTTTAAAAAAACTTGTTAACAATATTACAAATTTCTAATAGGATTGGAAAGAAATTATTTGTACACTAGGCATGTCAGAAATCAATAGCAAGGTACAATCAATAACAAGATGAGATCAACTATGATTAAATAGTTGGCTAAGATAACATGAATACTTGTATTTTTTCTTTGTTTATATTATATAATTATAACGTTAACATATAATTATAATAAATTAGGAAATATTTAAAGAAAGAAATGGTACAAACATTAATGACAATTAATTAACTGGAGCTATCAGCGCAATCGAGTTTATGCAGATGTGACTATTTACGAACATGTATCCTTTTCGTGTGTAAAAGTGCAAGACAAGTAATATAGCTTAACATCGAAAAGATAGAATAGAGATAAGAATAAACAAGAGAGTCAATGAACGGCTCGTTAAATAGAATAGTATGTAGGAAGATGTTTTCACGCATTATAATTATTCTACTTCATATTACGCAAGAATCTCATTTGTATAAAAGATTTGATATTAAAAACGGACGTCAAGTTAAATCCTACACTTTTTCTTCCAATCAATGTAATAGTAGTTATTTAATTGCCTCGGTAATTTAAAGGCTTAGGACGCTCGTACGCAATACAAGAGATTCAAGATTGAAAATTCTATAATTCATTCATTAAAATTAAATCTTTTCAAAACAAATTCAGTCAAATAATTCATTAATATGATTCTTTTGATCATATAAATAAAATAGTTTAAATTCAAGATTTATTATATTGCTCGTGTTTTTGACCTTTTCTATTAATCCATTTTTTTTAAATTCTATAATTTGTTCTCTCTCTCTCTCTCTCTCTCTCTCATTAAAATTAAATCTTTTTTTAAAACAAATTCAACCAAATAATTCATTAATGTGATTTTTTTGTATCATATCTTGGGATATTTGAATAAACTTCACGCTAAATTTCCTTGAACAACACATATGCTCACATCGCTGCTTTTCATCAGTATAACTGCTTTCCTAATCTGGATAGTCATTAAATTTAACGATTAATATTCCGGTTCGCAGGACAGAGCGACGATTGTTTCTATCAGATTCGGTCGTTTTATGCAAAAACGCGTCGAATATGAATCTAATTTTATTAATATCGCACATGAAGGAGCTGAACTCAATGATAAAATTTAAATTAAACATTGTTTTTAAACATTAATGTCATTATTAAGAATTTCAAGATTCACCTTTAGTACTGAAAATCCATAGTATATGTATATGTGAATTACAGAATTTCAATACTGATAGTGACTATCGGAATGCAGCCTAAGATATAAAATATTGATTGAGAGAGAGAGAGAGAGAGAGAGAGAGAGAGAGAAATTGTTTAAGAAATAAAAATGAGAAAATAAACATTTTATAGTTATATTTATTGCATATAATAACCTTTTATTAAACAATGTTAAATTATATATACATATTTCCATACTTGGAAAAAATCACAAGCATTAAAAAAAATTTAAGTATTTCGTTCATTTATTATAACAACGATACACTTGGGTAATTAGAAATACACTTCTAGGGACACTAAAGTAAAACATCTTTCAGCGCTAGCAATGTCAAAATATCCAATCTGAAACATTCAATAAAAACTGAAGTAACAATTAAAATAACGACTGAATCGATATCGTTACCGTTATAGATAGAAAAAAGTAATAATTGTTATAAAAAAAAGTAACGAGAAAAATAACTACATTACAAGTAATGCGTTACTTCTCAACTTTGCAACTGTTGCATCATTATTTTTCCTACAATCGTTGGTTTAAAAGTACATGAATAATCGTAATAATATATAAGAATATATTGTTTGTCCTAATCGATCACTGGTAATTAATTCGATTATTTCAGAAAAACATATTATGAAAATAAAGGGAAAAAGAGTAAGATTCGCGCATGGGATGTCCATCAGCGTATTATCCGCGCGCTTTACTTGCTCAGCTACATCAATTAGTTGCGTTTTACATTACAAATGCGGTATATAACCCACACGAAAAATTTTAATTAATGTCTCGTGAACTATTATGCAGTGACACGACTTTTACCGTTAATTGATAAAAGGGGTGTACTATACATATTAAAAATTTAACAAAATTTAGAACGTTGAAAGTGAATCATTTTTGTGATTCGTGGCGCTATTCTATTAACAAGAGAGAGAATTTTTGTAAAACTATAATCAATATTCATGGACTGATCTTATATTTAAATAACGTAAAGTTTATCTCACACAGACGCTCTCCTTATGACCTTTCATTATATTTTAAGATATGTGTAAGATGACGTTGAATATATAAGATCGGATTATGAATATTGACTTGTAAATAATAAATATATAACAAATTGCAATAAAAAGATATTTTACTTATATCTTTTTTGTTTCAATATAGCGATCAGAGCAAGAACGGGTCTCTCGCTGTCTTGTTCATCTCGGCGCGCCGAAGATGAGAAGGACAAACTTTCTCGTTGTCTCGTTCGCACCGAAGGCTGCCGAAAGCGAGGACAGATTTTCTTGCTGCCTCGCTCGCTAAGCCAAACCGAACCAAACGCGACGTGTCCAGATCCCAATGGGCATCACTAATTTATGTCATTGTATATATTTTAGAACACAAAACGAAATTTTACATGGATTTACAACTTTCCATGCAAAACGTGTAAGCGGATTAACACATCTTTAAATTCTTTTTTAATAACTTTTTAACAAAAACGAGTGACGGCTAAAACTTTTGGACCTTCACTCATTGTCAGAGTCGTAACTTTGACAATATACAGTGATGGGAGAAAGTTCCGTAACGGTCAAATATCTTGGAAAATAATGATTATGGAAGAAAATGTTCAATACAAAGTTCATCACTCAGGAAAATCTCAAGCAAAAAGGATTTATAACCAGTGTTTCGGAAGCGTCTTGACACCAGCTTTAAGAATATGTAATAGAAAATAGGAGTTTCCATTTAAGATTTCAAAGTAGACCTTCATGGTGTCCTTCAAGGTCACATGAAAGTCATTTAAATATAACCATATAATAGACCACTATGTATACTAAAACTTTTGTATTG